CAATATTAAATTTAGAAATAAATATGAGTTCAATTTTTATTCAATAAATGAATATATTAATTAAACAATTATAGTTTTTACCTAGTTTCAATTTATTTTGTAGCCTATTTCTGGAAAAACTTACTACTTTATTCAATAATTTTTTTAGCTGTAGTTCAAATGTCAATCTATAAAGCGAATACTCAATAAAACAAACTGTCACATCTTTAAAAACAAAACGAAATAAGACTAATTAGTTATAATTATACTCAGTTAATTGTAATAATCTCTATTCATTTATTAATAGAAACGTATTGATAGACAGAGTTGTTAAATTTCACAGTATCCCATTTGTATTCTGAATTTATTAGCGTATTACATAATCATCTAATTCATTTAGACTGAGTATTTTTATTTCTCCTATCTTTATTTTTCATAAAATAATCTCGAACAGTACGAAATGCTCCACTTATATTCCATTGTTGACCACTCTATATAAAATTTAAAGCAAAATCGCATAACAGTTAAGAAATATTATATTTGTTTATTAATAAGTCGAGTTTTACCAACAAATTAAAGTAGTAGGAGATAATGGGCAAAAATTCTCAAAACTAGACTCCATTTTAGTTGCTATTTACCAAAATAGGAGTATTTTCAAGTCTTGATAGAATTGATAGTGCTAATAAGATTGAAACCTAAGTATAACATAACCACAATTATAATAATATAAATTATGACTAAATCTCAGGAATGTATTGATTATTCTATGTAATTTTAGATCTTTATGTGAAGTAAAATAAAAAAAAATTAGCATTTTCATTGTGGATCATTATCAACTGTTTTTCCGTTGCATGATAATTATTATTAGTTCATAGAAAGAACTATCATAAGATGTAATAACTGCATATGTCCTTTATCTTTGTCATGAATTTCTTATTTTAGATCCATATTCCCACTACACTTCATGTATTCATTTAATGTATTTCTGGTTTATTGAATCTTCTAATGGAATTCACTTGAAACTACCTTATCTGTAGTCATTTAGTAGGTAGGCATTTGCTGAATTTTGAAGTTAGACTGGGCTTTACAAACTTCTCTAAACTAAAATAGGAAATTCAGGACAAAGATAACGGACATATTTAGTTATTACATGTTATGGTAGTAAATGTCTATAAAGATAAGTCCACTGTAAATTGATTTATTGAATAAATATGTTTTTTACTACAAAATTTAATATTGATTATAATTATTGGCCTGAGATTTGAAGTATTTCAAAGTTGTAGTCGTACACATTGAAAAAACTTATTATTTTGTGGCCCGTGATTTGACTCTACGTAAATCGTGTAAATGATTGTCATCGAAATATACATATCGCCTATTCTCATAGGTAATTGTCGACTTAAATCGAGTTAGTGAACAATGGAATTAAATAAGTCAATTACGAGAATGGATTTCGAATACGTGTATTTCATACAATCGTTGATCCGGACAGACGGTCAAAGAAACGAAACGGAGAGAAGAGAGCGAAGCAAAATGACGTGCGGTGAAGAAGACGAGTGAGCCAAATCAGTTTAATCAAGCGTTAATCGGTATTTATAGTCAGATAAAAATAAGTTACAAACATGTAATGAGTAAGATAGGAAATGAACACACATACGATTACATAAAAACGGTCAAGATTGATAAGCAAATAATTAACAAGGTTAAAATGTAGCTTGAGAAAGATAAATAAATTGGTTTGTCCAGAAGCTAAAATAAGCTATATGTGCTGGACATAGGACCAGTTACTGTAATTCAACACTTTATAATGTTAGGATTGTAGATGTCGAATATTTCATTCCATATAAATCTATTACTTTTGTTTTCTAAAGGTATCAAACTGTGAAAATCGGTAATTTTGTCATACCATGTTATTTTACTGTTGACAGATTGTTCCTTTCTTTAAACTTATAGACGTAATTCATTTGTGAATAGAACTGAAAAAATTATTATTATTATTATTAAATACCTCTAAAGAGATTTTATTCACTAATTTCTATTTCGAAGTTTGTAATGGTGTTTCTGCTCAGAAATACAGTAAAAGTATCATCAGTAAATTATAAATTTCTGATATAGTAACGCTACCATAAATGTTTCTGCTTGATTAGAAATTAACACAACTGAATTTAATGATCAATTTCATTGTTTATTAACTAAATGATTAACAAACTCCCTAAGCTAATTAATTATCGTGACTAATCTCATGCACTTTAAAAGGGTTATTAAGAATTTTAAAAATGTATGGTAATTATAGTTTTTATTTTTATTTGAAATTACTTTACAAACTTATCTGTCAAGATTAATAAGCAATCAATAAGTGGTGCGTCGACACTGGACGTTTCTAACACCATGATATTTTCGTGGGTATACACTGATGAGAATACCCATAATTGGGGTAAATAGCTAATTAGTGCTTTCTACTTTTCTATAATTGTCTAGCTTAAATAAATCTGAGATGGAAACTATAAAAACTAAATAAGAGTTCATTAAATATAACTCTCCTGATTCTTATAACAATGAAGACTGAATAACCGTAATTCAGAATCTCTGATACTCTTATTCTACTCTTTTCAGTAGTGAATTCCCATAGTAAGTGAATAAACTCTATGTAGTACGCATAGTATGATGCCAATTGTAGAGTGATTTCTTTAGATATAACCACAATCAACACAAATGTTTAGAAAATCCTTACGTTAGACTAAAAAAGGAATGAACTAAGGTTTGAAATGTAAACCATTTTATGTGAATCCAATCGCCTAAAGATTAAGCAGTCGCCGTCAAGCCTAATGGTCCTGAGTTCGATCATTGGTGGAGTCACAAATGCCCACTGGTAAGTTTCATACTAAAATGAAAGAGATTTCTATTGGCTACTGGTTTTCAATAGTTGTCTAACAAAAGTTCACTACAAAATTCAACTGTCTGTTATTATAAGTGGGGTTCTAACTATAGTTACTTAGTCACAGTTACACATGTCCGAAAATTAGATTGGAATCCATATATTATAACAACTACGTTATACCTGACAAAAAATGTAAAGTAAACAGAAGTATATTTTTCAACATCGAATTAATCATTTAAATGTGAGTATTCACATGTTTCGGTCCTAACCCGCTAACTAATTACAGCCTACATAAGCTAGACTGGACTTTACAAACTTCTCTAAACTAATAAAGGAGAAATTCTTAACACAACTAATATTGTTAGCCGTCTTTCGACTGTATCAGTGTAAATCTTAAAAATGTCTCAAGGATGTGTTATACTTTAAACAGAAACATCCTCACATAACCGGAAACTACTTATAACGGTATAAAAAGATACATCCCATCAAGGGGAAAAGCATACAGTGCATCAACAGTTTATTCTGTGTTCTTGGCACAGAACACTGTAGCATATACGAAAATCCTTTAATCAGGAAATCTGCTCTAACAAACACACAGATCTGTTTTTGGCTTTGATAAATAACTTAATAGAATTTTTAACGAAAACAATAATATGGACAGAGAATTCTAAATTTTTCCTGAGAAAATACTTGTTTCTACCTGATCCTACAATATACTCAGATCTTATTCTGAACGCTTTCATACATATACTGACACTGAAAGTTCAAACGTACCAAACTAAACGCACTACAGTTTTATTTATTAAATAGGCGGACAATATGTATAACAAATGACAGTAAGTGGCCTAGTTAATTTCACATTACTACAGTAATTTTTATTTTGCATGATTCTCACAATTGTTCATTGAGTCATTCTAAGTTGTGTTTTCATACTTGAATTGTTAATTTTTCATAAACGTTCAAGAACACACATTTTAATGACTTTTCTTACACTGCAGTTTAACCGATAAGTCTTGCAAATTTAACGCTATATTCGTTTCCTAAACTAGAACTATACAGAGACCTGAACGACGAGAGACGACGCAAAGTATGCGAGTACTTTACTCCAAGGTTCATTTCAATACAGAAAATATAGGGTTTTTATAATATTTTTAGAAGTCCTTAAGTTGCACGAAGATTCTAGAATGCTACTAAACATAGTAGCCTCTTAATGTTTCCTGAGCTTTGCTTGTCTTCTGAAAGAAATTTTCTGGACCACTCCAACAATAACTATACTAGAACGAGCTTTGCATACACAATGAAAATCGAAATTGCTAAGGTAAAAATATATAAATAAATATATTAACATAAAAGCAGTAAAACATCTCCAATAATAAATTGAATGGTTACTCACAAACATACACATAGACAAACAAATGAATGATCAATAAAGTTCAGTTACACCATTATCATAAATAAGAAAAATTAAATTCAACGTGCAAAGAAAACTAATAATAATAATGAAGAGATTAAATCGGTTCGTCAAAACGGATACTCTATTTTTATCTTTCAAGTAAGTAAACACATGTTCGCAGATAAAAATATGTTTGTTTGTTTTTCTTTTTGAAAAACAAGGACAATAATTACTAGTTTATTAAACCACACAGATTAAAACAGCAAATGAAGCGAGATAAGAAAAAGAATTGGATGTGAATAAAATCATTTTTCCCAACCCATCATGCCATAGACACCACATGTTGTATAGGTAAACATGTAAAGAAGAGAATTAGTATTATAATGCTTACATATATGTTGACAAAGTTACAAATAAAATTAAAAAAATATTCACAGATTAAACATAGAGAAAAGAGTTGAAGATGTACAGATATCAATGACCGGAAAATAGAAGTACATATTTTTACGATAAAAACCACAACGAAAACGACAACAACACAAATAATAAAACCTGAATAGATAATTGTTCAAAACATTATCTGATTTAATGATAATAAACATTACAATATATCACAAGATCAAGTTAGTCAAAAGAAAATTAGAATAAAGAACAACGTATAATGCAAAATAATCAAACAAAAATACATCAACATATAACAAATTGAATAGAACTGAATTATAACAAATAATTATAGTTGGTTTGAGTATAGTTATTGATGATTTCAAACACATTATTACATGACAAAATGAAAATGAATGTTTAAGAGTGAAGAGAAGCAGTGAAAGCGATCAACTGATCATAGTTCTATTAAAATATTAAATACTATTACATGAATTAATAGGTTCAATTCATGTGATTATTATTGTTATTCATTACGAATAGTATTTATTCTTGTAATGCACGATGTTCTGGAGATATTGTTTCTGTACGACGATAGTTTGGATTTTGAGTTAAATAAAATATTAAACCACAGAATATTACCAATACAACACCAAGTAAATTGCCAATTAATTCACCAGCTTTCAAAACTGGATAACTAAATAACAAATAAATAGATAATTATTATTGGAAAAATATATATATATAACAATTAAATTGATATAACTGTCGATGATTTACGTAAAGAAATAATTGGAATAATTGGAAATTATGTTCTAATTTTACTCACAATAAGTATGGGTCTACTTTACAAAAGAATTAAGAGCTACATTGTTTATGTGGGACATTTAAAGGTACTAACCCGGTGTGCAGACTGATATTTAAGAAATGTTGTCTGAGCCTGGGAGACTTACTGGTTGAAAACCGATGATTGGTTCAATCTCTACACTACCAATCCACAATAAATTGTAGGAAATAAGATGTCTGGTAACTCATTAATCATTATTTGACATAATATCGATTTTAGTAGTACAAATTTTCTTGTTAATTGGACTACTTTTCATCAGAAACATACGTGAAATTATTGACTTATATATGACTAAATCTCAAACTGTAAATAGATGGTTTTTTAAATCCAGTTATGTAATATACTTTATTTTACATTTGAACTGTTAGTCTTCTAACTTAAAACAGCACGGGAGATATATGTCAACTTTGTTTTATAAACCTAACTGCAACTTCAACATCATTACATAATACCTAGACAACCATACTATGATGAGGTGTTCAAACTTTTAGATAACACATTTTCAACCGTGAGAATATTACAATCAAGTTTGTTAGCATATTTATTACCTCGTGACTTCGAAAGGACAAAATAGATTATAATAGAACCAGTAGAGCGAAATGGGACAAATTAATTTGAAAGTGAAAATGAACGGTGAATAACCACTGTTGAAAATCTTTTAATACACAATTTTCAAAAGTTACAGGTGAATTAGATATAAGACGGTAACTTGTGGCAATAGTGAATATTTTTCGCTGAGTTATTTACTGTGATATTTATCTTACTAAATTAAGAATAAAGTAATTAGTCATTCATAATGAATATACAGCTTACTAAAAATGTGCATCAGCCCAAGTTCCAATACCACATCAATTTGACATGACGAAATTGAAAATAAATACCAAAGGAGCCGAAATAACGATAATATCAATGATCGTGGAAGGATGAAACATTTGAGAACGTATTTCAGTGAGAAGGTATGTATTCGAGACATAAAATGTACAAAGTAACATTGAAGACTAACACTTAGTAGAAAATAAACTGCAAATACATCTGAGCCATTGCGACCAATATGAATAAACTTAGCTTTAAAGCAAACTTTTTGTATACAGAATAATAATATTACTCAGTTGCTTAAACTGAAATAAATGGAGTTAAGTCTTAACCTAAACCCTACATAGTAAAAGTTAAATCCCTTCTGAAAGTACCATTGAATAAACGATATAAGATTTATTATTGGTACTACATATTATAAACAAACGAAAAAAATGGGTAGGTAATTATTTCTTTGAAATGACACTTACGTTTTCGAAAAAAAGTTCTTCTCTGTAATCCCAGAGATACATACACCAATCACTAGTAAATATAAAAAACTGCCTAGTGTAACATGTATGGGAAGAAGTTTACTACGAGCAACTTGGGGTGTCTGGGGTACCAGAAAGCCAATTAAACCTGCAACCCACTAAATTGAACCAAACGAGAAAAATTAGTAGATTATGAAATGAAATGAAAATATGGTTGACTGAAATCCACTTCAAAGTGCATCGCTAATTTTGAAGATTAATTTATCTTTGCGACACTTAATTCATAGAAACAGAAATATTAAATCGTCCACTAAAGCTGCTAATAGTCATTTATGGAGTACAACATTGTTAGTGTTATTTCGATAAACTAGAGTGACTATCGACAAAAGGTTAACAGTTTTGATGAGACAAAATCTACATATAAGAAAATGATACAACTGTCTGTTCCACCTTCGCTAAATAAAGTCGGATTTCAGTCAGAAATCCTGGCTTGCTTGTAGTATTCCGACCATTCACTTCATATATTATTAGATTGTATGGGCTATTTGAAACATACAAAGAAGAAATATCGCCTCAGAATATTCTTGACATAAAATGTTCAACTTACTATCGAATATGAGGTTAAAAAAGGCAAGTTTCATATCATTTATTCAATGATTGTTTGAAATTTATTAATCATACTCATTGCCCTGATTAGCTTATATCCTTTCTGGGTATAGTCTCATCACTGAAGCATTCCATTGACTGAAAGATTATATTGTTCATGTAATTTTGTTGGTGCAGTGGAATAATTATTATTAAACTGTCAAACTACTACATTTTAATGGTAAAATCTACAGGCAAACGTACCGAACATCAATGGGTACCTTATTGCACGACTTATTAATAACTGTTATCATCCCTAAACTAAAAACATAGTACCTCTGGACTTCATACAATGGAAGGTAAATTAGATGGGTTTTAAATTAATTTAAATGATTAAGGGTGTTCGGGGGGATTCATCATGAGTCATCTGACCTACTGAAGCTAACTCAGTACTGACACTTTGAAAGACGTTATAGATGACGTTTTAACTCAATCGAAGATTGATTGGACAAAGTATCAAGAAGTCGACTGTTACGCTTCTTGAAAAAAGGTTTTATGCCGTTATGTGCAGAATAGTTTTTAACATCAACCTAATGCTTTCAATTTATGCAAAGGATAAGCTGTCATAACCGTTCCTTTATATGCTCATTTACAGATTCACTTATACTTATGGATTAAAGCATTTCATTTCTAAGTGTAGCCCCGTATATATATAATTATACAGAAAAGACAAAATAGACATGACTTCTTTATAGACTACTTGAATGTTTAAAGCAATTTCACTAAACTCATGAAGTAACTATTTTTGCTTATCGAGAACTCGTGAAATTCGTAACAAATGTACATTTTCAACGCTTATACACCACCTGGATCCTTTTGACACAGTTCATTATGACGACAATAAAATCTTATAATTTTTTTATGACTAGATTAAAAATGGACTTTTGAAAAGATTATTTTTCACTGCCATTTCATTTAGCAAAGATATGGAATAAATGGAATCTGGCTAGCTGTGAAATCCAAGATGCGCGTTTCGTCCTATTTGGGACTTGTCGGCAGGATGTACTTACATTCCGGAAGGGATGTTCACTCAGGATACCCACACGCCAACCATGGAGATCAGATTTTGGTCAATAGGATCAATGACGGGATAATCCAAAGTATTTCTTATTGAATTTAATAAAGATATTGAATAAGCGTCAAATGTGATCTAATCACCTTTAATTGTATGTCTTCTACCTCTTTCTGTAAGTCTATTATAATCTAACGTATATCCAGTTAAATTATTGATGGTTTATCAATCATTAGCCAAGAGCAACATAATTTTAACTGATAAGCATGAGAACGGTTTGGCTGCCACAATAGGATAACAGTGTACAACATTATGACCCCCTTATTTAAAGCACGTAATATCTTCTCGGTGTTACATGTTCGTGATTTAGTAAAAAAAATCTTAAGATTTTCTACAACCACATATGTGAATAAAAATGGATGTAGATCTTCATTATACGCCTTACCTGTAATCCAAACACTATAATAGCTGTTATACCTAACCAACTGTGAAGACTGTATAAATTAGGTATTAATAAGGCATTGTGCATATCAAACACCGCTTTAGTTCCTAGAACACCGAATAAGAATGCAAGAATATGTAGGACAGCATGTAGAATTTTAATTGGTAGTTTTCGGAATGATCGAAATACACGATATACTAAAATTGCTATAATCAATTTTTTTTAAAGAGAGAAAAAAAACATTATATTCAGAAAAAATTAAAATATTTGAAATAAAACCACTGACAATAGGAAAATGTTTACAAAAAAAAAGTTTACATAGTTATCTGCAAATTGTACAATAAAAGCTAATAAATCAAAACGACAGAGAGTTATCTAGTAACAACTTATCCTGCCCATAAATTTTACCGGATTCTAAATATTAATAAAATACAATATATTACTGGCTATAATAAGTAGCCAGAAAACGCATACATTGGTCGGTGTGTACATTGATTGAGATCATGGTGAAAGTGGTGTTTGTTACTGCTGAATGGAACAGCATGAATTAAAAAAACAGCATGGAAGAGGTACACCTGATTTTCTATTATGGAAGAAAGGTTGTCTTGAGCCACTGAATGATTAAACATCAAAGACAAAACCGCTAGCCAAATGAATAGATTTTTATGTAATAAAATAATACGCTCATATATATAATATAAATACAACATAAACATGATAAAATGTTATAAGGGATAGGAAGAAACGAGCTTTTAATTCACTCATTCTCTAATTAATTAAAATCTCACTGTTAGGCCTAATCTGGCATCATATCATTTCCAGAAGACACAAAATGATCTATAGAGAGAGAGCTTCTTTGTTATTTCAGCTAACAATTGCTCAATAGAAACCCAGTTCTAGATATTTTATATGACTGAGAAGTTTTTGGAGTATGATACAACATTCAAATATTCAAGGAGCACAAAGTTTTGTGGTCTAGTGAGAAATCATAATTTGTCACTAGTGAAGGGACAAGTTACCAGTAGTACTGGATAACCGTGTGAGGATAAGAATAGACTACAGAGCTGTTGGATTTCGACTTGCAAGACCTGGAAATATTGGACACGGTTGATGAGGGGTTGCAAGCATGGAGTATTTGTCAGTCTCAAACTAGAATGAATCATGCATTCGTAGGTTTTTGTTTTTCAACGATTTTCCAGCTAATGACACTTTATGATGAAAACTGGGGAAATTCTAATTATTTTACTTTAGTGAGTCAACAACAGGAAAAGACTCCCAATTAGTCGTCTTAGAATGCTCAAAAGTATGACAGTTTTGGAACATCATGATATGAGTAGCTCTCAAAGAATCAACAATGAGATTGCACGAAAAATCTCTAAAGCATATAACAACACAGAAATCGTTTTTACGGTCAATTTAGTCCAGTTATAAATTATATGATGATTTTATTGAGAGACAGACCAGTTCTTTACAAGCCGGACAAAACCACACAAAAGAAAACCGATTGGGATGTTATACAAACTTTAATGTATAGTCCAACATCCAATTATATCTTAGACGTAAAAGTAAAAATGTAAGTTGGTATGTAATCTATGATAATCTGAACATACAATACAAAAAGTGGTTTATTATTTACACAACACATTTAAGAAATACTGATCTTTAAACAATACACTTTTGTCTCCAAATATTTTAAATTTTTACATTGTACATTAATTTCACGTTCTTGCAATATTAGTGTTGCTGGGATTATAGGACTTTCAACCATTTTTTGATATTAAATGATAACAGCCGATTACCAGGGCAGATATATATGTACAGTGTGACTCATCTCTGTCCACCAATAAGGATGGAATGGACATTAAACTAAAACTACTCTTTCTATACATCACTGATATAACAGGGAAAATACATCTTAAAATCATGAAAGTGACCGATCGATGAGACTTATATAAATCGATTGCCTAGCTACAAAATTATATTTATATTTATTTTCCCATTGAATATCTTACACATGAACATCTTATACTACTGGGGAAAATTTTTCAACTAGCCAATCATTATATGTTTTGGTTTCTGACTGATTGGGAGCTTGAGTTAATGAACCGGATGAATTTGTGAGCAGTAATCACTGATGAAAATTGGTTCACTGTGCAGCATTATTTGGTCAGCATTATATTTATTCATCTAAACCACTTATAACCCGTTCATTATTATTGCAAATCATAAAATCCCCGTCAAAATTAATAGCCGTATTTATTTCATATTTGCCATCTGCATGGTATAAATACACTATAACGCATTGTAATGCTTGAACTTCGGAATGATCTGTCACTGGCCAGTTTGGCTGAAATAAGTTCATGTTTTTTGTATTAATAAATATAGTATGGAAAATCGTAATCTAAACTGATAATTTCAAGAGTATGTTTCCACAATATAGAAGTTTAGTTGGTAGAAAACGCTTGAGAATGTATATCTTCTCATACATAGCTTGAGATTTAAGTCACTACTGGAAGTCGTTAGTTATACTTCTAGATATCAAAACGACAAACTTATTTTGAATTCATTATACATACAAATATCTTCTAGATTGTGAGGACTATATTTGGATATTACATTTACTGATGAGGAATGTCATGCGATCGGTTTACCATCGCGATACCCTTCCTTAATGAAATATGACAGATTAGAACCCGTTGGTCGAATCATGCGCCAATAGTTCCTATTACTACACAGCTAGACAAATAATATCCTCATAGCATTGTATATAGCTGATAACGGGTTTTACTATATACTAACAAACTATGGGTTGAATTAAAACCCATAACTAAATACAAAAACATCTATGATTCATAATAATGGACGAAATTTAAATGAACATGTTACATATATATATCGTGAAGAACATACATAATTCCACATCACACTTACCATCGCCATATAAAAACACTAGACCCAAGACCATGAACAGAGGATGATAATTGAAGACTGTGTTGGCGTTAGTCCAACTAAAACCACCCCAGTATTTTCCCAACCAAACAGCTGTTAAAATGACAGCAAGTAACCCAAAAATCTAAAAGAAAGTTGAGCTGTCTTTATGATTGACAAACCTGTGATATGATGACAAGATAGATGAATGATTTCGAACTTCTAGGATGCGATTCCACAGGGTCATATCTATCCATTACCAAAGCCGTTCTACAAAAAAACAACACAACGAAAGAAAGCTAATATAACAAACGTTTATTATTTGCAAACACATATGAATACATTCTACTGCTCTCAATAATAAACTGGTCCGGAATGTACTGGTCCAAGAACTCACTTTTATAACCGAAATACAGATCGACGAGTTTCTTTAGGTTTACTGTTATTTTTTGTTTTTAATATCGTAATATACTTGTTAATAAGCTGATAAACTGTCACATTCCGAAGATACAAATGTTGACTACCACACATTAAATGAATAACTTAAATGTCAGCACATTAAACTCCACGTTTTTTCGTACATAAAAGCAGTAAATTTATGCTTACAGACTCCCTTTCCCAATAAAATATCTAAAATTTAGAATACAGACACTTAACCGAGTCAACGTTGGGAAAGGCTCTCCAGAACGGCCGAATATTGTAGGATAGTAGTAGCTATAAGCACGATCCATATAACATGAATTCCAAATCGCAGCATAAATATTTCTGTCCAAGTGGAGCTGCGGATCAGTTGACGATGGACTGACTTATGATTCGAACGCCACTGAATGCCTTGGCTTGGACATCCTATTGATACAAACTTTTACCGCTTTACTAAGCTGTAATTTTGATCTTATATTTTCGTGCTGTTGTAAAAGGATAGACACTTCTATTCGGTTATTGTTTAACTTTTGGAAGGCCAATTTAGCATTCGACAAACCAAGGGTCGTTTACAGAGTAGGATAGAGAGCTTGAGTCACACTATGATGGTATAAGAGATCCTTCAGTTACGTTTTCAAAGATGATTTAGCAGGACTAACTAGATTAATATTTTGATTCTTGTGCAGTCAATCTAAAACAATCATTCAGGAGATATGTAATAATTATTTAAATAGGTGTCGATGTAGAGGCCGATATATTTAGAAATTATGTAACTTTCTGATTTTGAAAGTAACAGAAAACTCTGATATTTCTTTAAAATACTACATTGAAATAGTAAAACTATATCATACAGGAGAACCAGTCAGGAATGGGAATAGTTTTAGATACATAACTTATGCATTATACCATTGTTGATTATTAACAGTTTGGATGCAAATCTGGAGAAAAACGTAGTAGACAATTGCTAACCAGTAGGACTGCTCGATGGGAGTTGTGAGAAAGCCCTAGGTTCAAAGCAACACTGAAAGCTAGTTTTCAGGGTAGTAATTAGGGTTCGTCAATACAAACACAAGTGAGGTCATTTACGCACAACTGAAGTTTCTGCTAATCAATTTAAAAAAGGACAACCCAACTACCATCTGCGGCGTGCCTTGAAAATGATCCTTACCAGTGAGTAAGCTGCTCGGTTTATTTGTTCGTAACATGAAAAACTCGAAATATAATTCATAAATGATTTAACTATACTAAATAATATACAAACCACAATCTTACTCGATTTTTCTACTGAAAAAAAACTAGTTCTATGTGCTTTCCGTCTAGGGGTTTCTCAAGTTGAACTAATTCCCTTCTACCAAATTATTTTTGTAACTAATGAACAGGATTATTTCGTTGGACATTACCACAAACCTTTTGTTTCGGCAAGAGTCACGCAAGTTATGAGTAAGGTAACATAATTAAGCAAGGTTTATCGTTTCATGGAAATATGACTAAAACAAAGATTTTTACAACCAGCATATATATGCTGGTATATACAGTTATATTCTCAACAACTGAACTCTATCAAACATTTAAAACAAGCAACGATTACAAACCCAAAGAAAAGTAATCAAAAATTTAGGTTCTTACGAGAATAGATGCTATACTTAGAACCGACAGGTGCGAGTTCGCAAAGTTGAGTATGTCAGCACTCTACGGCAGTATTTTAAACCATGGCCAAGGTCACAACATAGGTTTGGCCTTAGTTTAGGTAGATAAACAAACAAAACCCAATAGAATCATAGTCGTATTACTTTACATTTCTTGTAATAGATCCACACACAAAATTAATGCTATTAAGTCTATAATGGAACAAGGTAGCTACACAGATGAATCTATTTTTACTTGCTATCTAAACTTTTCACCTCCAGAAATTTGTATTTACACGGATTACAACGACCCTCCATTTAGACTCCGACGAAAAAGCATAAGATCATTACATACATAAGGAACTGTATTTCATCATATTCTATACGCTTGTCTCAACAGTTCCACTTTATTTGTGAAAACGGTTACGTGAGAGTTATTCATGTGAAGCTTGAAATGTAAGTAGAAACCATTTTTGGATAACAGGAAAGGGAATGAAACATATGCAAATACCTAGTGACACAAGTTTTGAACAACTTTGTCTAGTCTTATTAATTTATTCAGTAACCTTGACTTGTGTTAAATTTAGTATACCTGGTTTAAGTACATTTTAAAGTACTTTGGTTATTGAGTGACTAGATTAGACATATACTAAATAATCTTGCGAATGTCTTTAAACAATTTCAGTCTGCCTCCAAATTATAAAGCATCCACCTATAACGCATCATATGTACCGCATTAAGACTAGAATTGTATCAATCCCAAACAAGCTTGGTTGATTCGTTGCCATTCATATATTCTTCGTTCGTATGCAACACATTTGATGTCTTATATTAGTCAAATCTTCTTAAACCAATCAATTTCTACCTAACCGAACATTTGATATTAGTAGATGCACTATGTCAGTCTATTTTCTCTTTATTATTACAATATCCGTTACCTGGACAATCTCAAGAGAACATTTGCGTGTCAGTGCCAACATTTTAGGACTTCGATAGTGACTTCATTTTTTCACGAACAGTAAATTCTATTTCTCAAAATAGATAAACACAAGTGAAGAATTATTCGGACGAACTTTGTCTTGTTTAAATGAACAGTAAAGGGAGCTTAATATACGGTTCGTAAAACACCCAACCTTAGGCCTTATCGGCCACAATCTCCCGTAATATGTCAATCTTATGTACCTCAAAGACCAATATAAGACCGTTGAAAGTGAGTAAGAAATCTAGATTCAATGAAAGATTCTTAGCATCAGGACAGGAGCGTAAAGACATTGGTCTCATCACACAGTAGCGAGCTAAATGTTATTTGGGATCATCGAATTATGTTAGATAAGTATGATAATTAGGAGAGTTTGAATTAAAGTACGAACTAACAATCTCAAAAATAACGCAATCAGATCGAAAAGTACAAGATAAGCACGAACGAATGTACTGTGTTTGGGATTCGAAATCAAGTATTCAACAGATACAAAGGAATCATTAGTTCATTCAAACACCACAATAAGCTACATGATAATTACTTTGTGTTACACTGAAGGTTCAGTATTGTTAAATCTTCCATTTCGTCTGGACTACATTGAGCTTCATCTGCAGTGTATCACAACAATACTGAGATCATCAGGATGTCAGCGACATTTAAACTAGGGGGGTTGATTATTCACATCACTATCAATACCTGTAGCACCCATACTTCAACTTCGGTTGGATATAAAATTGCTAATACATGCGTTTGACATTTACACGCATTTTAATATGAAATATCAATATTTGATATGAAATATCAAATAGATATGCGAATTTTGTCAATTATTTTATTTATTTTCGGACATCGTTGTTACACTTTAAAATTCTGACCAATGGCTTTCACGCACAAGCTGTTATAAAAAGGGTTTTTCGGTAAATGTGTGTCGCGTGTAATTGTTCTTTCCGTTATGGACAAGTGTGATGGGTGTTCTTCGTGTCGTATTTGAGGATCCTGATTTTACCATTGTGTATGTTGAGTCTTACTGACAAAGAGGCTTTTGCTACACTAGTTGCCTTGACATGCGTTTGTTGGTTATATGGGATAGAAGAACTAGGTACTCGACGAATTCAAAATCGTCCAGTCGTATCTAAGCTGTTCTATTCTCCATAATCCAGTCAACCATCAGAAGAAAGAGAATGGGAGAGAGCAGATAGTCTTGTCTGGCTCCAATCTTTAGGGATGAACTTACAATAACTGAGAAGAATTACATTTAAAAATATACACCCGGATAGGGCCGGAATGGTGAACGTGTGGGATCTGTTCGGAATTAATAATAATAATAATAATTTATTCTCAAATAACAGTTTGTTACATGAGGCATGCCAGTTTACAGGCAAGATCAAATTGTTACAAATGAAAGAAAATTTGTGCCTGATGTTGAATTCGGAGGTATTAGCAAACCAAACAGAAGAGTAAATCCAAACATTCAAAAATCGATGCAAATGAATATTATTAATATATACGAATTTTAATTTTTTAAAACCTATGGGTTCCGAGTACCCTCATTTATATGGACTTGTAGAATTATGGTCTATTATGATATTAGTACTGCTCTAACAATAGACCTAATCCTAAAATTGTAGATTTGTCATGATATAACTGCCTAATCTATAAGATCTTACGTGGAAGTCACATCATCGACTACACCAACTCACCGTATCGTAACAACTACCAATACATGATGAAAAACAAGCTTAGGCTAGAGAAAGAACAATATATTTAATATGAATAAGAGATATAAGATAACATCCAGCAGGGACCACGCCTGCATGGCCGAGCCATGCCACTCGATCAACCCCAGTCCATTTAATTCATAGTTCGCGCCTTCTCCATGTTAGGTATTTATCCGCGTTAAATATTGAATATCTATTTTCTGAGTAGTCTCGTGTTCAGCTTTGCGGATTGTGCGGTTATTATTCAATGCCACTACACTACTCTCCCACCAGAATCAACGTGATGTTGGTTCGATACCGAATTGGATGGGATCGTCGTGCGTTGAAGGTTACCAAGACTAGGAAGAATCCCCCGGGTAATGATAAGCTGAAAGATAAATCAAAAAGAAGGCGGCAGCATCTGGTCGGGAAATACATGTAATAATTTTTTTAAAAAAAATCTGCCTTCATGCTTGACACGCTTAAAATGACAATTTGGGTGAAGATTATTTGAGCTATAAAAAAATGGGATTACAGTAATAATAAGAATAAAACGATGCGTGTTAATAGCCGTTGGTTAGTAACTTAACGTATAGGTAGTAAGTATTTTGTGTTTAGAAATATTAAAGTGATGAATATTGTAGAAATGTTAATATTGGTATTAGTTTTGGTTTAAATTATGAAATGAGATAACGATTATGCCGGTAAGTTGTCCATAAGAGTTGAATTCCAATTGCATCTGTATTAGTAGGCTAACTGAAGGAACAAAAGTATACCGTGGGGAAGAATTCCAACTAGTGTTCCTGTTAGTTTGATACGGTTTATTTAGTTACGGGGAGATTTTCTCAACCTCATTTTTACTTGACCGTGATAGAATTTAGTAATACTACTAATACACATGAATGGTTATCAAAATAAAATTTAAATACATGAGTGATAATTATATGAATTTTGGACAGATAGCTAGGGACAAATCGTTAAACATGAGTGTATTCGTAAGAGACATGCTCTGGACTCAATGTTCTGATCTGCGGCAGACTATTTATTTATATTTATACTTGCTGGCTGATTGGGCATACAAGTTAGTTGCAAGTATGCAGTTTATCATAAGGCGGAATACGATTTAATTGAGATATAGTGGTTATAAGTTATTAAAATCAGTTAGGCCTGTGTCATATTACGAAGTGATGTGGTGCTGCAAGATGTATTCGGCTAAATAAGCTTTTACAAGATGATTAACAGTGAGTGATGCTCATGTGATTATCAGGGAGTACATAAGTTGTAACCAAGGGGAGTACACTCCCAACTCATGTCTATGATAATGGCTTGAACCTTAGTCAGTGTTGGGGTAAATTCGACATTGATGTTTTCAGTTTGCAGGAGATTTGCTCGACTGCTTATACTGATTATTTGCATGCATGATTGTGTCGCTAAACCTCCAATTAGACTGACAAGGTTTTGAGATATTTACTGAATAAGCAACCGATAGAGAAACATACTGTAATCATCTGTAGTGAATGAAGATAAAAGAAAAACAACACTAGTGATAATTGTAAGTCAATTTGCTGACCGATTTTGTTAATAGTTTCATTAATTTTATTAATCATATTACGTGATTGTCAAGTCATGACAATGCTTTATGACGATATCCTGAAACTATTACGTTTAGCTAGTTATAGTGTTGATTGAGGATTAGTCAGTAGAAAAATAGGTATTGTTGCTTTAGGTGATTCAAAATTATCAGAAATTTATAACGTTAAAGAATCCGAGACGCCTAATTTAACTATAAATTTTAATTCAGAAAGATTCGTTTAGTGTTAATTCTAGTAGGCTACGGAGTTTTGATTTTAAACGTTTGTTTAGCTAACAGCTACCTGAGGATTCAGTTATTTTACTAGTGCAGTTGATAGTACCTAAATTTTTAATCTTATTATCTAAACTATATTCGCATTTTAGGCTGCTAATATGATAAACCAATCCATAAACCCAAATACGATTAGCAACAACGACTATGATGGGTTTATTGATAAATGCTAAAGGCGACTCAGATGATTCCTAAATTTAGGAGACATGAAGATATAGTGTAACGTATGTGTGGGCCAGGTTAACAAACAGGTTGTTGACGTATATGACAATTTAAAAATAATGAACATGACCAGATAAATAATTTTAAAGTTAAGACTGCTTGTGAAACTTCAGGCAGGACTATGATGCGTTATAAACCTTCCATAAGAAGTTACTGCATTTAGCTTAGTGACACTTACAAATATATGGCAAAAGCAACTGAAAAACATATACATCTTAAGTACAAAAACAATCATCCAGTAAAATAGTTGAACTCGCCTGGATTATTTTTGAAAATTAGATTATTCAGTGGACGACATATATACTGCCATTCGTGAGTAGTATTGATCCAAAAGCATCCAGAATAAAACATGTAGTATGGCAATTAATTCCAGGGTGCTTGATGCTGTTGAGGTTTTTGACACTCGCTCGGATCAGAACAATCGAATGAATCCAGATAATTGTATGGTTGTCATTGAACGAACCATCTAAAAATGATTGCAGAAAACTTATAGCTGAAACTCACCGTATGTTTTTGGAGTAGTCATCCTCGTTGTTTGGCAATGGAACTCGAGAATATGAAATTAGGCAGGCAGTGGTCGGAAGAAAAGATATTACAGGATAGTGCATCGTTTAAAACAGGATGAGGTGTTGAGTGAAGGAACACTGAGAATTAGATCCAGAGAACTATTTAGTTCTTGATCGCATTGTTAGTCAATGTATATTTACGCTATTTACAGGTCATATTTGCTAGAGCTTGATGTTTAAACAAGACTATGTCGCTGAAGCAGGTAAATGCTATCACAGCTTGTTAACAAACCATCAAAGCTAATTAGTTAATATAGACGACCAGTTTTTATTATCGGTTGAGCTAGTTTGTCATGAGGACTAATCAATATAACATTAAGATAATGCATGTGAGCATTAATCAGAGGAGTATTAGAATACAGTGTTAACATAAATATAAAATCGATCGAGAAAGTTGAAGTGGAAATAAGGATTAATAATAATAGGTTGCGTTTCTTTAGTTGGGCTCACCAATGTAGAATTATGGTCTACTATGATATTAGTACTGCTCTAACAATAGACCTAATCCTAAAATTGTAGATTTGTCATGATATAACTGCCTAATCTATAAGATCTTACGTGGAAGTCACATCATCGACTACACCAACTCACCGTATCGTAACAACTACCAATACATGATGAAAAACAAGCTTAGGCTAGAGAAAGAACAATA